TCGAACTATCTAGCCCGTGCCGCGTGTAGCCGCGCGGCACGGGGTTCGCACTAGCCGGCTTTTAAAAATGGCGGAGCCGGCTTTATGCTAATGAAGCCCGGGAAATTCAAATCCCGGGCTTCATTAGCAAGTTCGGTATGCATACATTACCCCGCTAGTTCGAACTAGCGGGGTAGTGTAGACATACCCTAAGTAAGTTATGTCTACAACTATGTGGTCTCCATATTGTGCAGTTTTTGTAGTCCTTTTGTAGTCAAGTGTCTGGAGCCAGGAAATACAGTTCAGTTGTTTACCAGTATTACTTTGTGTCACACTTAGTATTGACCATGATCACAATTATACCATGAGTAAGGCCCTACTTCAGTGGCAGGATGATGGTCAAATAATTGTGGGCAAGACATAGATAATCTTGGAAAAGTAATAATGGACCTTTTATTAATTATGGCAATCTGGAAAAGTTGCAAAAGACCTATTTGTTTTAAAACAAATTGCTGGAACAATACAAAGACTCAAATACCATGTTATATCTACTATTTTTTAAAATAATTAGACATTATGCTGTAAGTATTACAGTCATTAAGGGGGAGAGGGGAGTGACCAGCCAAGTCCTACCCCTATCAGCTTGGTTAAATGGGATTCTTTTATACTAATAGGGAAACAAAGGTATGTTTCAAATCTCAAAATGTATGCAAAACTTTGGACTGTTCAAAATAAACTAAACCAAAAATGTGGTTGAAGTCTAGTATTGAAGAAGCCACAATTTGCGCAGTTTTGCAAAATAAGTAGGGCCTTAATCATCAGCTTTATGATATTGCATGTTTTTCTTTAAGCGTTAGTTCGTTTTGCAGTAGTGGGAACCAGCATGTCGCAGTACATAAAGAGAGATTTAACTGCTACAACTGTCAAAATAGACTTTTTATGAAGACAGTAATCTTCATATTCACCTGGAAAGCTGGGTAATCCATCTGACAGTCTAATAAACTCAGATTTTATCTAAAAAATATAGGTAAGAGATGAACATAAGTTTTCCCCAGCATAAGAACTGGGCATGCTGTATATTGCCTTGTGGAGGTTTCCTTTCATTTGTGGTTCAGAAACCATGTGGGATGGAGGACATCTAAGATCACAGATGCTCTCCTGTTCTGACTACCAATAAAAACTTTGTGGTGGTCAGAGTAGGAGAGCATCTGTGATCTTTAATAAGTTCATACTCCGTTCCCTATCAGTCTTTTACCACTATGATTGTGGCATCTGCTGCTAGGCTGTTTTTTTGGTAGGCGAGGACTGGGACATTTACCTGTCTGCAAATAAGAGTGTCTCTGTTTCCTCTAAACCCAATAGCCAGCTGTATTATATAGAAAAACCTGCTTTTTAACAGCGAGAGTGACCAGTGCCCACAGGCGACTGAAGCACATGCCTGATAGTTATTAAATGTCTCTTTATCATACCATCTGTAATGTTGATTATGATTACAGTTACTGTAGTGATTGGTACAATATAAATAGGTATACAGAATGACAGAAGGCTAAGAGTAATATCTGTTCTAATCCTCCTAATGAGTGGAACATCTGTGTTAAATTACTGAGTTACATTTTGCTATTAGTTTCACTTCCATTACACTATGTCTGCACAACAGTGGAAGATGTGACTTGAAAGCAGGATAGACATACCCATACATGCTTGTTCTAGCTATTACACTGAGTATAACAGTAAAAAGGCATTGGCACAGGCTTCAATATGTGTTGAACAAGCTCACCGAGTACCCTGGTTATGTACTCTCTTTGCTAGTCCTCACTGAAGCCCTTGTCACCATGTCTTCACTGCTGTTATAGTGTGATAGCTAGATTAAAGCTAGCACAGATGTATCTATTCAGGTGGCAAACGATCATTTCTATTGCAGTGTGGATACAGTCAGTCTGTATACAGTGACACATAAAGGTGCTCTTCCTATTGCTGGCTTTTGAAAGTAGGAATTGATGCTGGGAAGTATGTTTGATGTTGCATTCATCCTTCCAACCCATAACCAGGGCATTCCCTGAGCTTTCAGCTGAAGTGGCATAGAAACAGATGGTCAGAAGCACCATGGGACTTTGACTTAGCATTTCATTTGGGGTCAGCTTTCCCACTTTGCTGCCAGTTACAAGACTGCTTAAACTGCTGTTTATTTTCCCAGAGAAGCTGCAGAGTAGACAGCTGTCTTCCCTCAAATTTTATCCATAAGGCAACCATAACTTTGTCTGTTAAATAACAGGACAAGATGTGTGGACAGCTTCTTTCTGTTCCCAGCCAGTTCAAAACAAGCCCAGGGTGAAATGCTGAGAATTTAAGAACATTTTGATTGTGATTCAAGGTTTTATAGAAATATAAAAGAGATAGTGATTACAGGGCGGCAAGCATGATTTATTTTGGACTGTGAGAACAATGTTGAAAAACAGAAATGAATTTGATAAAATGAAAATTTGTGTGTTTAATGCAATTCAATTTAGGAAGTTTCTCCTTTCTTTTAGCAGAGAGATCCTTCTTCAAGATTGAGATCTTGCAGTGTAACAGATGCGGTTGCTGATCAGTCTCACTTATCACTGGTAAACCAAAGTTAATTTTTATTTCTTCTGTATTTGATTTTATTTATACTGTGGTTCTGAATGGTACCTTTTCCTGTTGCAATGGCTTCCAAACATTTATATATAAGTGGTATGAATATGACTACCACTCAATAACTGATTCCAAAGTAAGGTTGTTTCATTGGCCAATCCAGTAATGAGGTTATACTTGTCTTACAAAAAATTTAGTTAAGATGATTAAAGAGAGTGGATTAAATGGTGGGCCCCCTGAAATTGATCGAATTTTTGCCATGTACTTTACTGGGAGATATGATTAGAATTGGGCAAAATTGGTGACATTTTCATTTAATTTGAGAGATGGGAGGATTTTTTTGGAGAAAGGAAGAAATAGGGAGGAGTGTTAGAGTAAGCTAAGAAATTAACTAAATCCATTTGAACCGGAAAAGGCTTCATATCCCACTATATTTCTTAAATAGGAAAAGTATATTTGAGTTCTCTTTTTTGCTCCATAATTAGAATCCTGCTAATTCGTGGATGATATCTTTTTTTTTTTTTTTTTTTTTGCAATTTTGAATACAAATTTTGTATCCAGAACTCTGCAGATTTGCAGATATCTGTGGATCATATTTGGAAATGCAGATACTAATTTTGTATCTGAACAGGGCTCTATCCATAGATAAGTAGCTCTTTACTACTAATGTCCAGCAAGCTCTATATTGTTTTCAAGAGAATTGGGCAAAGTGGTAATGACACAGTTCAATTTACTTAAAATAAAATTGTATCAGATCAGCATTTGACTGTAGCTGTCCAGAATATTTAATAATGGATGACATTTCAACAAAACATTAACATTTCCTGTAGAAGTTTCTGCAGATATCTTTTGCCTGTTTTGCCAGAACTGTAAATATGGGCATATGAATGAAAAGAATCTTTAGACTTTTCCCTTTCAGTAAATTACAAAATATGAATAAATATAGTGCTTACGTTGTCATCATTTTTATTGTTAAATTGATATGATTGAACCATTGAATTTGAAATGACTGCTTTTTAAATAGAAACTTCTAGTTACATTAAACATTCAACAATTTTTTCCTGTTAGAATTGGTTAATTCAACATAAAGCTGGAGATTATGTAATGATTTGAAATATGACATTATGATACAGTGATTTTTCAATAATAGATGTTTCTGTAAGTATTTAATTAAATGTATGTAAAGTACTACGCAGCTATTTATTTACCATCCTGCACTAAAAATATTATGGCTCACACAAAAACGTACTTAAGCTATCTCTTCTTCCTACTCTCAGTGATTGGCTTCTGCTGGAATCTGCACCAGCAAGCTTCTGCTTTTTCCAATATTTTGATTCACTTGTTTGTGGGTTGTTCGAACTGATGTACGAAGTTAGGCTTTGTTATGGCTCTTCCTTTAATTTTGTTTTATCATGTTTACTAAATGAAGTTAGGTGCTCAGAACATCGGTATAAAAATAAGCATAACTTTAAAACTGGGACATACTTGATCTAAATAATCATCAGCCTCTTCTGGATTAACAATCATTTTTCTTCTAGTAACTAAATCCTTACTTTATTTCTAAATAAGCTGTCTGTCCTGGAACATACTGCTCCTTACTGAAAGCTTGGAACACCAATTTCTTTTTTTATCATTATTATTCTGACTTTCACAGAGCTGCACACTCACTGCTGGCCAGAAAATTGCCTCTTCATTTCTAAACGTCTGTGCTCTATGCTTGTAGAGCTGAAGATGTACAATTATTTTTATTTGGAAAAAGTAATTTTTTAAAAGACCTTACATTATAGTAAAGGTTCTGTCATTATCATAGCACTAGAGTCCTGCATCACGATCATTAGGCTAGTGCCTCAGTCTTTGAATGTATAAATGGCATGTTCTTCTGAGTTATCAGTGAATGATGGCTTCATTTTTCTTGCTGCTATCTTTTATTTAGCATTACCTGAGTCTAACTGATCACCATTGAAAAGTGTGTCAGAAAGGCTATGGTTCCTTATTCCTGAGGATGTGAGCGTAAGCTATTACCTTCATCACTAAACATACTTATCTGTAACATTAATTATCATTTAACAGCAGAGTGGTCCATCTAGGAGAGCTCGTTCTTCAACTGTCACAGGTGGTGAAGAACCAACGGTAATAATACTCTTTATCAAACACTTTCTGTAAATGAAATCTGGGTTGGGTTGAGCATCTTTGACACTGGATATTTTTCATATAGCAGCAGTATACTGTACTGGTTTAAAGTTTTTTGAAGTTCTAGCTAAGTTTTAACATTTATTTTTCAGTTTTTAGCTTAAAATCCTTTTGAAGTCGTGTGAAATCACAGTAATATTGGCACATTATAAAAATACAGATATCATGCAATTGATTTTAACAGAACAATACTCTTCATAAATAGCATTAACTCTTACTCAGAAATTGAAAGATATAGCACTTCATTTTTAAATACAAATAAACCCTTTAAAATGTAGCTTGTACCATTTGCGTTGACTTAACACTAGAATAAGTCAGTTGTATTCTTAGCCTTGATCCAGCTTCGGGAACAATACAGACAGAGGTTGTACCTACATAGTTCTCAGTGTAGTTGATGGTCCTTGTTGTGTACCAGGTTTTACTTTCCAGTTGTCATTCACTAAGCCATTCCTGGCTATGTGACTCTGATAGTGCAAGAAAAAAATTGAAAGCGTCTAAATTGGAAGTTTAATACCCCGAAGCTATTTTTCATGCTGCACTATAGTTTTTAAGGCTATCCCATACACTGACAATAGGATTAAATATGAGCCTAACACAAGTGGATTTTCTGATAATATATAAACATTCATCTTTTGTATATATCTATATCTGTCGATAGATAGATAGATATATCTGTGCCGGCAAAACCCAGTTATATATATTTTTATTTGTGTTGTAGACGCAGCATGAGACCCTAATTCAGGGATCAAGGCATATGTTTTTTATTGAACAAAAATATGCAGTGTTTATTAAGGAAACATACCTTGGACTTTGAATTACATGTCAATACCATTCACAAACATACAAATATTTTGATTAATAGCCATGTAGAACAGGTAAAATGTACTGCATGGATCTCTAATATAACGCCAATCTTTTATTGGCCTATAATTCTATTAATTACACACACGTGTTATATACATTTTGTATTCCTCTACTAAAAACTTAATTCAGAGTAGAGATACTCTATGAAAGCTTGGTCAGTAAGCTTTTGTGTACCAAAATAGGCATATAGTGTTGATGTGATGGCTAAATATATTTCTGCATATTACAAGGAAAAATCTTGTTGGTGTTTTTTAAACATTCATAGTGATTTTGTATTTACTATACCACAGTTAGTCCTTCAGTGGTTAGATAACACACACAAAGTAATGCACAAAATGTCAGTACACAGTGTAATGATACTTCATCTATCTATTGTATTGCAGGGAGCACCTTATTTTTCCACTTAAGACAATTGCAGAATATGAGCAATATTTGATACTTAATTACATAAAGTGGGTGCTGCTTTGAATATGTGTTGATATATTTATGTGTATGTGTAAATACACAATGTTTTTTAATTTGATCATTTCTAAGAGCTTTATTGAAAACCTCAGACAAACCTGAATAGTCTCCCTTGAGACATGTTACCGTAAAACTAGGCTGGACAAATCACTAGTCGTCATAGATGGTAGTAGGATGAACCAGATAACTTGAATAAATGTCTCCCATCCTTGATTTATTTTATGGAAGGAAACCAATAAGAAAATACAACTTAAATCTGAGAATGCATGGTTAAAGAGAACTGAAAGATCTAATTTAATGTGTTTTAAATGGATTGTTTCTGAGTCTGTGTTGGTTTGCAAAACTCAGTTCATATGGCAAAGGAATGCTGCCAATAATTGGATTCAGTTTATAAGGCGTTAGTAGACAATAAAAAGGAAGCGACACATTACCATGTATGATCTTCAGTGTTTCCACATCCAGTGACCCTTTCCTTTGTGACTGTGTCCTCATAGCTCCCTATAAAATCAAAGCAGCTATTGGCAATAGACACCAATCAACTTAGAACAGTTTTTGATTTTGGGTTGAATCCAAGGTGATTAAAATCTAGTGATTTAAAAACTTCTTGAAAGCCTTTGAGCTAGTCACTTAAAAATGCAAACTGTTGAGAATATCAGTAGTTTCTCTCTGCAGTGAATGCTTGTATTTCTATACAGTATCAGCAACCCTAGAACACATTATCTCTTTACCTGTTGGCTGAGATTCATGTGGCTTAAAACATTTTTTTTTCTGACAAGCTAATCACTGATTAAAACACCCAAATCATGGCCATTTAGGAGGTGACTGAATCAAGATTTCAAGCTGCCTCAGCCAAAATTGTTGAACAAATTCTTCTTCTCCTCCCCTTCTGTTTCCTGGTTTCCTTCCTTTTCTTTAACAGATGGTCAGATAGATGGTAAAACAAAATGCAGGAGGAGATCTAATAAACTTTGGATCTTAGAAGTAATCTGTGTGCAACAGAGACGCTATACATGTTGGAACTCCCTGGTCCGGCACCCTTGAGACTGAACAGGTCCCACATGAGGGGTTTTGCTCGACCACAGGAGGTCATTTCTGGCCCCCGTGTCACCAACAATCCCAGTCCAGATGCCATATCCCAAATACTGCCTGCCCAACTGCCCCACCAGCCTCGTCCCACTGCAATAGCCCACTGGCACTTGAGCCACCCTGCCCCCAGCCCAGCCAGTGTGCAAGGCTACCAACTGCCAGTCCCCTGCAGCCAGCTCTGGCTCCTAGCCCCCTCAGAGCTCCTGCCTCCAGCCCTCCACCAGGACTCTCTGGTTGAGGAACATCTGGTTCTGTGAGAGTCCCGGTTTAGAGAGGTTCTATCTGTAACTCTGCTATACATTGTCATTTGCTTTTTTAATCTCTGGCACAATCGTTTTCCACAGTCTTCAACTTGCTTTACAATATCTATTTTATAACAGGATGAATGTGCAACACAAAATGCTGTTTATAAAGCTACACAAAAGATAAGTCATTTGATTGCATTGTAATTATCGGGGCTCGCCAAGCGGCGGTGAGCCCTGCTCGCCAGCCGTGCGGTTCATTGCGCTGCGCAGCTGTGCCGGCTCGTAATCTACTCGCCATGGGATTACACTAATTGTTGAGCCCTGATAATTATGGTGAATTATGGGCCTGAGAGGTGTCATGTTACTGAACACACAGGTATCTCTATAGCAAAAACCAAAATTTTATTGAAGTCTCTCATGTCTGCATGCAAGATTCTGTCAGTAATACCAGAAAAAAACAAGTGGGAAACTTCAAATGTGTTAGATTTCAAAGTGGTGATGAACAGCATGATTGAAGCAGGGGAATAGCAGTGATTATGAAATTAAATGTAATCTGCCATGTATCATCCAGTTGACTAATTGCCTCCTTCCGTCCTTTGTAAGTATAAATGGTTTAAATTGTTTCTAGAGTTTTAGCCACATTATTATTGTGACTGAGTTTCATACCTACTAATGGGTTTTTTTCTCTTTAAATTGAACATAAATACCATAGTGTTGTAGACAAGAATCCAGTAATGTATTTTATATACGACACATAAATTTTCATCATTTAAGCAATTACCATTTCTCCATGTGTTTTTCTAACAGTGAAGCCTCATGGTGTTTGGTGCAGTAAGCAGCTTCCATGTAGGGGTGTAATAGTGTAGTCAATTAATTGATAAGCAAAAGCTTATTGGTTAATGCTGTAGACTATGTGCAATCCACTCCCCCACTTTACCAGTAATTTTTTTAGCAGGCTGACCAGCAGCCCAATTCAGTCCTGGCTTGCACTGGGTCTGAGACCTATACCCCTTGTGTTTGTGCATTTAAAGCATATTAGGAGTCAGGTCGCAGACAGCTCAGCTTGCGCTGGGTTTGGGAGCTCAGACCCACCCCCCCGGACAGGGGCTGCTGCCATCCTGCACTGCTGCCTCTATCATAGGCAGCAGCAGGGAGCATCTGGCAGCCTGTCTGTGAGGGGAGCTGGTTGTTAAACTGGCACCCCATGCTGCTGCCTCTGATACAGCAGCAGCAGCGCGGAGTGGCAGGGGGCTCCTTGGCAGCACACTGGCTGCTGCCCCAGCCCTGGGGACTATCATTGTCAAGTAACCAATAAGAATTTATGGGGTTAATCCACTATTCAATTAACCATTATTTAACATCCCTACTTCCATGATGAACCCTGTTGATGCCTATTTGTTACGGTGTTCCAGTTGTCACATGTGCCATTTGACTTTTGAAATATTGCTTACAGATTCAATTTTATATGGAAAAGTGCAGATTTTAAAAAGCCGTAACAGATAGTCCTATTCAATAAATTCACAAAAAAAAACCCTGCAAATGGTCTAGTAGCACTTTATAGACTAGCAAAACATGTAGATGGTATCATGAGCTTTCGTGGGCACCGTCTACATGTTTTGTTAGTCTATAAAGTGCTACCAGACCATTTGTTGTTTTTTTCTGTAACAGACTAACTTGGCTATGTCCAATAAATTCACAGTTACACAAAAAGCATTTCTACAAGAAAAAGAAAAATGAAATGTCTCATCAAGGTATACAATGTAAAATATACTTTGTAAGATTCACATACAGATAACCAGGACTGAATTAGAGCAGAAAGGATAAGGTACACATTTTCTAACTTTCCAAAAATGTGTTACATGTGAGCTTCTGAATGTTCCTCAGTTTTAACTGAAGGGAGACAATTCACCAGTGTCATAGGATAAGAATAATACTTTATGATGGTGGTGAATTTTTCAACTAAGCCCAACAAGCAGCAGTTTAACATGTTTGTCCCCTGTTAAAGATTATTTTGCTCTTCTTCAATGAGGATGGTAGTCTTTTGTCTGACGTAGACTTCTATTTTTGGAAAGACTACCTAAAAAGAATTAGGATCCACCCAGTCCTAAAACATTCATTAAATTTCTGGCTAATTTCTTCCAGAAACATCATTGTCTTTTATAGTCTTAAAAGAATGCTTTTGGGCTGCTCATTGTGTTACAGGAGTGTCCAATACTTTGCAAAATGAAGCCTCATTTGACCTTCTTGCATTTAAAATTTGTTATACCCACAGGCAACTTGTGGCCCCTAATAATTGGGCGGGGCGTGGGGTACAGTGTAAAGGAGGGCACATGTATCAATCCCACATGTCGCCTCAGGATTTTTCAGCCACACATTCTTGGGCCAGGGCAGACAATTCCACCAGCTCCTGGGGGGCTGGGCTAGGCAGAAGAATAAGTCTCTGAGCACGCCCGGGGCCAGACCAGGCACAGGGTGACTCTCAGCACCAGTGTCTCAGCAGGAGAGGCATGGGTAATGCTCCTACCTACAGCTGAGCAGAATGTAAAAATTGTACAAAATGTTCCATCTGCAATGTGACTTGTTTGCTGGGTAATTGCCTTAATGTTTGGCTCGATTACACAGTGTGAATGAGCATTAGAGGAATCTCTCCTCTAGAGCAGTAGTTCCCAACCTTTTTTTATACTACGGACCGGCAAACTCATTCACAAACTCTTGGTAGACGGGCAATATTTTATTTACATATTCATTATGCAAATAACGAATATGCAAGTATGCCGATAAAATGTTACTGGTTTGCCAAAATATATACCCCAGCTCCCGGAGCCGCCGCACAGCAACCGGCTTCAGCTCCAGTAGCTGCCATGGTGCAGGCAGCTGCTGCAGCTGAAGCCAGCTGCTGTGCAGCGGCTCTGGGGACCAGGGTGTGCCCCAGCCTCCAGAGTCAGTGCAACCAGCTAGCTTTAGCTCTGGCAGCCGCTGTGGCCCGACAGCCAGCAGTTTGTGGCCCTGCACCGGTCCACGGACTGGCAGTTGGGAGCCGCTGCTCTAGAGTAAAGGGTGACTTAGAGCATGAATGGGCTTCTCAGCCTACTTCTATCCTACTTCTCAGCCTACTTCTAGCCTACTTATATCCAGCAACTGCAGGTTTCAGACAGTGGCAAGACTTTACAATTCCATTCTTCTGTTCCTGCTTTAGTTTTTTATATATATATATTTTTAATATGGCTTCTTTTAGAAACAGGTGTGTCTCATCTTCCCTCTTCCCAACAGCCTTAAAGGAGTTCTTCAGTTTTCTCTTGCGTGCAGCACAGTGTGAAAACAGGCCCCACAGCTACATGTAGCTCGGACATGGGCTTAGTGTCTCTCTGTGACTCAGCTGTCAGCCCCATTTCTTCCAAGTTTAGATACTGGCACTTGTTATAACATCAACTTAAGCACTTGCACTGTTACACTCAATGTGAAATTCACAGGCTCTGAACAGAATAAGTTTGTTTAAATATGGGTCTGCTCCCTGCCCACTTTGCTGTGTTCCCATAACAGATAAGGCAGTCGAGCACTGCTGGCATCTTAACATCTGTATTTCTACTTTGATTTCTGGAAGGGAAAAGAATTTGTCCTTTCATATCTGTAAAAGAATGCCACATCTATTGTTGCAGTCCACACAAGGAAAAGGCATTGTGAAAAAGTAGATTAGTGTAACAAGGGGCCTTGTCTACTTTGTCTAGAAAGCTGCCTGCTTCTAGGGGGATTAGTAGTTCTGATGATACAATAAAGCATTACACAAAAACTGACAAGACTATTAAGTTCAGGCACTTGCTTTCTCTTGGCAGGTCTTTGGTTTGGCATTTGGTTACATCATCCTCCTGCCAATCAAAACTTTGTCATAAGGAAGAAGAGACTCCCGAGTTTTAGATTTTCAATTATCTAGGCTTATTAAAAGGCTGCCACTGGATCCCTGCAAGTTCCTAGAGTGCATCACCATGTACCATTGGATTAATTAGAGGCCAATAACTTGTCCTACAAAATGTGAAAGTTCTTTTCAGCAGAAAAGTGTCCTGAAAATAGTTAACCCATTTGTCTGGCTCTGCAGGTTAGCTCCTGAGACTGGTCCTTTTGGCATCATCATTATCAGTATGTTGACACATTTTACATCCATGTCCTCCTTTTCCACTGCTTACTAATATGCTCCATATACTATTGGAGTTGGGGAAAGGCGGTGGTCACAGGAGTACAGGATCATGTCTCTGTCTTCATGGGGGACACTGTGTCTCAGAAAATTTAAGCAAGACTTCCAGCTCCAAATCTATTTGCATTCTTCTTAGCACTTACAAACTATTGCCTGAACAATAACTAATTAATCTTTACTAAACCCTCCGAGGTAGGTTTTTTATTCACTCCATTTTACAGGGGTGAAAACCAAGAGAGGTGGTGATGGACCAAAGCCTGCTTACCTGTCCATGGGAGAACCCAAGTGAGAACTTAGACGTTCTTAACTTTTCCACCTGTGTTCTTTCCTCTAGGATCTCTGTGGCCTCTGTTCCTGTGACTTATGTATATCAACTTCAGGGAATAAATACTATCTCTAGCAAGAGAGAAACATTTTTATTCTCATGAAAGCAATTCTTATAATGTTTGTAGCACCACATGGAAGCCGAGATGTTTTCTGACAGTGCCTGTAGCTATGGAAATGTGAGCCAGAAGACTTGCACCTGGAAGGGAGGAGGGTGATGAGCCAGATATGAGAGAGAGCCCGTGTTAGAGAATTGAAGACCTGTATTTCCAAATGTTCTACTGTGTTTGATTATAAGAATGGTTATAAGTAGACTTCTTCTGAAGATATTTTTTTCAAAGAACCACAAATTAATCATACACTATTTTTTGCATAAACAGCCATCAGTGGCCTATGTACATACTACACCAGGCTTACCTTCCGGCTGGGAAGAAAGGAAAGATGCTAAGGGACGTACCTATTATGTCAATCATAACAATCGAACCACAACTTGGACTCGGCCCATTATGCAGGTATGGAGTTTGTTGTTGAGATTAAACAATACAGTAGAATGCTTAGAGAATGTGTTGGGTCTAGCTCCATTTGGGTAAGTCTACACTGCAGGCTACAGTTGAATTAAGAGATCCAACTTCACTACGTTAATTGCATAGCTGAAGTCAAAGTAGCTTAACTTGGCTTTAGGCACTGTCTACTTTGCAGGAAGTCGAAGGAAGAACACTCTACTTTCATCTTTCCTTGCTCCTTATGAAATGAGTGTTATAGAAGTTGGAGTAAGAATCATAGAATCCTAGAACTGGAGGGGACTTTAGAGGTCGAGTCCAGACCACTCTCTGATAGATGTCTATCCAACCCACTCTTAAATATCTCTAGTGATGGATAGCAAAAAACTCAACTCTCAAAAGAAATGTGCAGGAACTAACTTAGGGTATGTTTACACTACAGCACTAATTTGAACTAACTTAATTCGAATTAACTAATTCGAACTAAACTAATACAAATTAGTGCATCTAGACCTAAAAACTCATTCGAATTAGTGTTTTGCTAATTTGAAACAGCATGTCCGCATTGAGTGGACCCTGAACCGAGGTTAAGGCTGGCCGGAAGTAGTGCCGGCAGGGCATCAGGTTAGGACTCAGAGCGTGGAGCTGCTGTCTCAGGTTAGCAGAGGGCTGTGCTTAAGGGGACCCGACCCCCACCGCGGACAGACAGTTCTCAGGGTTCCCCGCCTGCTTGTGTACCTCGATGAGGGACAGCAAAGCAGTCCTGTCTTGGAGTGCCCTGAGTGCCCACACTCTGCACATCACAGCACTCGGCCATCAGCCTGGCTGCACTTTTTGCAGGCTGCCATCTGGGGGGGTTAATCGGGAGGCTGTCAGGATCCAGGAGGCCCTGCAGGAGAGCTTCCACCCCAAGGAGCCCGCAGAGCCACCCCAGTCCTCCACATCGGGGGCTCGTGCCCCATTCCTCCCTCACCTCCTTCCACTTACCTCTTCCTAGCCTCCCTTCCTCACGTAAAAAATAAAGGACAAGTGTGTTCAAAAATAGAAACTCTCTTTATTTAACAAAACTGGGGGGGAGGGATTAACCTCTGGGGAGACTGGGAAAAGGCGGTGGGAGAGGGGAAGAGAGAGGGTGGAAGAGGGGAGGGGGAAACCTGGGAAAAGGGAGCTGGAAGGGGGAAGCCAGGGGAAGAAGGGGGAGGGGCAGTATACAACTATGGTACGCCATATCTTCAGTACTGTGTACAGATGTGGTCTCCTCACCTCAAAAAAAGATATTCTGGCCTTGGAAAGGGTTCAGAAAAGGGCAACTACAATGATTAGGGGTTTGGAACAGGTACCATATGAAGAGAGGCTAAAGAGACTTGGACTTTTCAGCTTAGAAAAGAGAAGACTGAGGGGGGATATGATAGAGGTCTATAAAACTGAGTGGTGTAGAGAGTGTGAATAAAGAGAAGTTCTTCATTAGTTCCCATAATAGAAGGACTAGAGGACACCAAATGAAATGAATGGACAGCAGGTTTAAAACTAATAAGCAAAAGTTGTTCTTCACACAGCGTGTAGTCAACCTGTGGAACTCCTTGCCACATGAGGCTGTGAAGGCTAGAACTATAACAGAGTTTAAAGAGAAGTTAGATAAATTCATGGAGGTTGGATCCATGGAGTGCTATTAGCTAGGGGGTAGGAACAGCGACCCTGGCCTCTGTTTGTGGAAGGCTGGAGATGGATGGCACGAGACAAATTGCTTGGTCAGTGTCTTCAGTCCATCCCATCTGGGGTACCTGGTGCTGGCTGCTGTCAGCAGACAGGCTACTGGGCTAGATGGACCTTTGGTCTGACCCAGTATGGCCATTCTTATGTTCTAAGCTCAGGGATAAGGGTTGGGGGTCTCACTGGACCAACTTGATTTTCATGCAAACCTGCTCCTGGGTTCGCATGTGGCCTTTGGTGGCCAGGCTGGTAGCTATCCTGCCCTAGACGGCCACTTTCCTGTGCCTAGTGCGGCGGGGGGGGGTGGTGGGGGGCCCCCCCCCAACCC